CTGCACTTTCTCATCTATGGAAGGAAGAGGTCACTGCTTTTCATTTCCAGCCAGCTTGGTAGTTATCCTACCTCCTAAGGTTAAACATCTCTGCACTGACCTGTCAGAGTTGATTATTAGCAGTATAAAGCCAGGAATGCTGTAGGGAACAGATGGGAAATGGTTTGGCTGCTGTGGCCAAGGCTAATTAAAGAATCCTTGGCAATTTTACAGTGTACATTTTGAAATGTACCACTAAAGTTACTATGAAGCCTGCTGAGTTTTGAAAGCCAGGTTTCAGAAAAGTCACCTGGTTGAAGTAACATATTGCTTATGCAATTCTTATCTGTAAAAGAACATCAGGACACTTGAAATCATTCCTTGGGATGTGTTTTTTTTTTTTTTTTTTTATTTTATGTTCTAGACATTCAGAAATTCTAGATAGTTTTTTTTAGAACAAAAATAACTTTAATAGGTAAAGGTAACTTTTAGTATTTATATGGAATCTTCAGATTGTACAATTCAGAATTTGTATTTACAAGGGTTATTTACATTTATGGAAATGGTTTTAGTGTTCTGTGTAATTTCTGACGATACATATATATATATATTTATTTATATATTTATATATATATATTCTTAAATAATTGAAAATAGGACTATAGAGAAGGCTCAGTGGTTAAGAACACTTGCTGCTCTTACAGAGGACTGGGTTCAGTTCTCAGTACCCACAGACATTTTTAACACTGGTTTCAGGAAATCCCGGGCTGCCTTCTGGACTCTGTGGATGGACATGGCATGCTTGCTCGAGTGTGTGTGTGTATGTGCGTGCACACACAAACAAAAAACACACATACACACAAATCTTTTAAAAATTAAAAAAAAGAGCTTAAACCCAGTACTCGGGAGGCAAAGGCAGGCAGATCTCTGTGAGTTCGAGGCCAGTGTGGTCTACAGAGCTAGTTCCAGGATAGGCTCCAAAGCAATAGAAATAGAGAGAAAACCTGTAAAGAAAAGAAAAGGAAAAGGAAAAAGAAAAAAGCTGGATGGTGGTGGTGCACAACTTTAATCACTTGGAGACAGAGGCAGGCAGATCTTTGTGAGTTTAAGACAAGCCTGGTCTACAGAGTAAGATCCAGAACAGGCTCCAAAACAACACAGAGAAACCCTGTTTTGAGAAATAAAACAAAAACTTAAAACATGAAAAGAGTACATTGTTTTGACACAATTAAAAACAGCATAAAACTTCTTATATAAGTTTTGTTTGCTTTGTCAGCACTGGGACCAAAGCTAGGACCTTGAATGTTTGGCCCAACTGGTTTCCTTTTTTAAAAATGTTTTTGATGGGGAGGGAATGGGGGGAGAGAAGGGAGGGTGAACTGCTGTTGGGATGTAACAATTAAAAACTTTTGCCACTTAAAAATGTTTTTGTTACTTGTAAGACAGAATCTCACTAGGATGCACAAACTAGTTTTGAACTTAATTCTAGTATAGACAGTTATCAAACTTGTGAGCCTCATGCCTCATCCTCTCAAATAGCTTTGCCAGCAGACCTAGTAGTATAAGATTTTTTTTTAAAAAGGATTTATTTATTCACAGCTAGGTATGGTGGTGCACCCCTTTAATTCCAGGCAGAGGTGGGCAGATATCTGAATTTGAGGTCAGTGTGGTCTACAGAGCAAGTTCTAAGACAGACAGGGCTATATAGAGAAACCTTGCCTTGGAGAAAGAAAAAAAAAAAAGTTTATTTATTCTGTTATATAGCATCTAGTAAAAGATTCTTACCTAAAAAATAATTCTGTAGCTTCCTTTCCCTTCTCTTCTCTCCCATTTTTGTTGTTTGTTTTAAAGACTATCATGTAGCCTATATTGGTATTTTGGGAAATGGGGGGGTAGGGACAGGGGCTGTTTCAAGACAGGGTTTCTCTGTGTAGCCTTGGCTGTACTGGAACTTGCTCTGTAGACCAGGACGGCCTCCAACTCAGAGATTCACCTGCCACTGCCTCCAGAGTTCTAGCTTTAAAAGCCTGGCTGTGATTTTCTTTTTTAAAAGCCATTGATTTCACAAAACCAGATATGATGGCAAATGTCTATAATCCCAAATGTTCTGGGGACTGAGGTAGGAGGCCCACTTGAGCTTATGAGTTTGAGATCAGCCTGGGCAACATAAGGAGATTCAGTCTCAGAAACAAAAACAAACAAACAAACAAACACAGCGTGGTACCTGCTTGACATCTCAGCCAAGGAAAGGCAGAGGCATATGAAGGTCATCTTCAGTTACTTAGCAAATTTTTAGCCATCTTGGGGTGCTTGAGATTCTCTCTCTGAATAAATAAATTTGCTCAAAATTTAGTGATCTTTTTCAGGTTCTACTCAAGGTGTTTTTCTGTATTTTGTCTTTGATAGGTTGTTTTTCTCCCATCCTTTTCAGGTACTAAATGGTATCTTTCTGTTTCCTTTATTGTTTTCTCTTTGTTCATTCTCTTTGCACTCTGGAAGAATAACATTGCATGATCTTTGTGCTTTTTTGATTGCTCTGGTTTTAATTGATACTTAGTTTTGTTTACTTGTATCTTCCTTTCTTTGTGTATATTTAATAAGCAACTAGGCAAGCACTTTACCACCCTCTGCTTCCCTCTCCCCTAGTGGTATGTCTTTTTGTCCTTTCAAGTAAGTTATATCTTTTCATTTCAGAATGAAATGTTACCTTCTTAATGCTTTTCTTCCTTATTGGCATGCTTTATCCTGCTCTTACAAAAGTCAGCCAGTATAGTGAAAAAAGAACTCTTAGCAAGTCCCAGTTATTTTATGTTTGTGCTTTCCTTTTCTGTCCTCCAGTCTCTTTATTACCATCTTATTTTCTAGAGAAAGGAAAGTTATAGTGGTTGTCCAAGGATAAAACAACATGATGTCGTTTAGTGGCTAAATTACACAGATACTAATGCAGATCTGGAGATGGTGCGTAAACTCTTAATTACTGTGGAGTAGATGTTAAACCTAGCCACAATTAAAGAGATTACAGAGGTGATACATTATAAATTGGGGAAGATCTGTGTTGTAATAATCCTCTGTAGTGGGAATTCAGTTTAGCATCCTCTTTTCTAAAAATGCCCTTAGCCCATTTCTTTGTTCATTGTGATTTGTTGCTATATTTCTAACATTTGTTTAATGCCTGGCACATCTTAGGGAATACGTTTTGTTTGTTTGTTTGTTTGTTTTGGGGTGGAGGGGCTGGTTTTTCTAGACAGGGTTTCTTTGTGTAGTCTAGGCTGTTCTGGAACTAGCTCTGCAGACCAGGCTGGCCTTGTACTCACGAGATTTGTCTGTCTTTGCTTCCTTAGTACTGGGATTAAAGTTGTGTCACCACTGTCCAGCAGAGAATAGGTTTTAAGAACGTCAGGCGAATGAACAAATATCTGTTATACTACTATTGTAAGCCAAATCTTGAGTATTAAAAATTCCAAATTGTTCACTAAAAATATTTTTAGAATTCTTAGGTCCCTTTCAAAATCCTCAACTTTCTGATTCTTCAATGAGATAATTTTTCTTCTTTTAGTTGTTACATCTTATCCTCCCATCCTTATTTTAGCTCATCCTATAGGAAGCAAGGTTTATGTAGACTTAATATTTGCTATAATAATTAATTGCTGGTGACAGAAAACGTTTTACTTAGGTAATGGGTGTACTTCTCAAATCGAAAGGTAAACTGGAACTGGAGATTAAAATACATTAATTCTTGCTTAAAATCACAGTTACTTGCTTGTGTTCATTTGGTACAACCCTATTCTTCTAGAATGACTTTTTTTTTTTTTTTTTTTTTTTTTGGTCTAAGGACCCTAGATAAACACTGTTATGACAGAATAGGTGGAAAGTCACAACTTGCCTTGTCCTATGTGAATCATTTCTTGTTAAATAATCACTCCGTGTCACTACTGGCTTGCTCTTTGCTCTTTATACACAATTGTGTTACAAAAGTTTGTTTTGTTTTGTTTTCTAAACAGATAGAAAGATAGTACACAGAAGAATAGGCCAGAACAAACATACCTGGATGATACAAATTGGTTGCTGGGTTTTCTAGGTTTTGTTTCCCTCTGGGTCTCCTAAGCCAGAAGGCAGTGGAAACACATAAACTATCCTTTTAAAGCCAGTCTCTCTTCCATGCATTGGTGTTTTTCAGTTAGTTCTTTAAATCTTACCGTAACAAAGTAAAGGTTCATTCTACTTTTGGGAGACAGGCTTTCAGCAGAGTAATGTAAAACATTTTTCTTTTGTAAATATTTTAATGGGAAAGGCTATATTGAATCCTGCTCTGTAGACATGGTTTCCTACCTGAGTTTGATAAGAACTTTGTGGCTTCTCTGGGTTCAAGTCATAAGTTTAGTCCCCTCTGAGAAATATTTCTTTGGTTGCAGTTACACCCTGAGTGAATTTACATTTTCCCTAGTTCTGCTTTCTCTTTTTTCTTTCCCTTAGCCATAATTAGGTTTTGGTGTTTTTTTTTTTTTTTTTTTTTTTTTTTTTTTAATGCTAGAATGCTGGGAATCTGCACACTATTTTTAGTAGGATTGGCCCTATTAGTAGAGAGCTATTAAGGCTTTTGCTAGATCATGTTCTGAGTCACTGATAATTCAAGCAGCTAACAGAAAGGAGATGTGAGCAGGGTTGTTGCAGCTTCAATCTGTGATGTGCTGGGGCCTGTATTGATTCAGACAGGATTGCCAGCTGGCAGTGGTAGCAGAAGCTGGGTCTTTCAGGAATGGGAAACTAATTGTAGAGGACTACTAATTAACACCACAGATTCTTGGACAACTAGAAATACTGTATTCTTCCCTGAGGAGATAGAATGGGAATTACCTTCTCCAGATCCAGTGTGATATGGTTAGAAAACAACTGAATTTGTCTTGCTCATTGAAGTATGAGAACTACACAAGAGGAGTCTATTTTCTGTGAGAGTTTATTTCAGGCTGTCTCCTTGCCTGTATTGTTTTCTTTAACAGCTTTTTAAAATTTTCTTTTTTCAGCGATGATGATGTCCACTGGACATGTACTGACCAAGGAGGCAGGTCTGAGAACATAGCCGAAGCTGAAAACAGGAAAACTGGGGGCAAGGAAGAGCCTTGAATCTTGAGGTGGGACGTTGACTCTAAGATGTCCTTGAGCAGTGGAGCCTCCGGAGGGAAAGGAGTGGATGCAAACCCGGTTGAAACATATGACAGTGGGGATGAATGGGACATTGGAGTAGGGAATCTCATCATTGACCTGGACGCCGATCTGGAAAAGGACCAGCAGAAACTGGAAATGTCAGGCTCAAAGGAGGTGGGGATGCCAGCTCCCAATGCTGTGGCCACACTACCAGACAACATCAAGTTTGTGACCCCAGTGCCAGGTCCTCAAGGGAAGGAAGGCAAATCAAAATCCAAAAGGAATAAGAGTGGCAAAGACACTAACAAGCCCACTCCAGGGACTTCCTTGTTCTCTCCAAGTGAGGGAGCAGCAAACAAGAAAGAAGTGCAGGGTCGCTCAGGAGACAGCACCAATGCTGGAGGCCTAGTTGCTGCTATTGGCCCAAAGGGCTCCGAGAAGGCTGCTAAGGTGTCACGCAGTATAGCTGGCTCCAAGAAGGAAAAGGAGAACAGCTCATCTAAGAGTAAGAAGGAGAGAAGTGAAGGAGTGGCGACTTGTTCAGAAAAGGATCCTGGGGTCCTCCAGCCAGTTCCCCTGGGAGGACGGGGTGGTCAGTATGATGGAAGTGCAGGGATGGATACAGGAACTGTGGAGCCACTTGGGAGTATAGCTATTGAACCTGGGGCAGCGCTCAATCCTTTGGGAACTAAGCCTGAGCCAGAGGAAGGGGAGAATGAGTGTCGGCCACTAAAGAAAGTCAAGTCCGAAAAGGTAAGAGGTAGCCAGATCTGGCTGCCCACTGCTCGTCAAAACTGCCCAGGACTAACTGCCAAGTGTTGTGTGCATTCTGTGGGAGGCTCATTAGTTTGTGGGTAATGACCAATTACAAGGTCAGAGCAGCTGGTAATGGTAATGTGATTTTGTTCCAAATTAAAGGATTCCCTACAGAGTCATTTGCAGCAGGCCCAGACCTCTTGGAATACGATTTTGGTTGAGGGGTCAGCTACTTGGTAGGATGAATTTTCTCACACCTTGTTATTGTCACATGTCAGACACTTGTTAGAGGCTAGCATTAAATCTTCATGTGATTTCCTGCTTGACTGGAGTTTCATTATCAGAATCATAATAGTTGATAAATGTATTAGACTTTTAGTTACATGTTTATGCTGAATGATGGTTTTGGGTTTTTTGTTTTTGTTTTTTAATTTAACTTTATATGCATTGGTGTCCCCTGGAACTGGAGTTATAGACAGTTGTAAGCTGCCATGTGGGTTCTGGGAATCAAACCCAGGTCCTCTAGAAGAGCAGCTAGTGCTCTTAACTGTTGGGCTGTCTCTCCAACCCCCTAACTGATGTTCTTAGTGGGATAAATGATAGTGCTGGGTCTCTTGTAGGACAAAGAGTTAATTGTCATGGCCTATCAATTGGTAGCTACCAAAAAACAAAGATACATAGATACCAGTCTAGTAAACAAGGGGCAGGAGGTACTGACTATACTATACAGCACTTAATCGGGCCTTGTGAGTTTCTATGGTAGTTTTGAAAGTTAGGCCTAGAAAGATTCTTTGGCCCCTGAAAGTATTGCTCTCTGCCAGTTATCTCCTGCAACCATCGGAAATCAAAGTCTCCTGGTGGTTTTATTGTTGCCAAATAGTGTAATGATCCCTCGCCTTCTGCCTGACTTGGAATCATAGGTGCCTGCAAACCCAAGAGGCATTAGGACTGAGTTCCTCCCTCCAGGAAAGTGATCTTAGTTGATGTTTCAGGAAATGAAGCTTGTAAGGCTATAGTAGAATGTTTCCAGTCTAGGGTCACCTCAGGCTGCCTCAAACTTGAGCAGCCTACAGTTTCCTACAAAGCAGCTGGCCTGTTGATGAGCTGTTCTTTGGCTCTTGATTTTCTGCTTTGCTCTGCTCACCCTATGCACTCAGCTGATTGCAGCAGATGCGGCATAAATTGATTTCTCTGTAATTACATCAGCTGCAGAAGGGAATACCTATTTCCATATGTAAGTGTTAATAAATAAAGGCTGGATATATGTATTTGGGTGGTGGTGCTCTCTTATTGCCTGGATTTTTACTGGTAGCTTGTGCCTTTTTTTTTTTTTTTCTGTAGGTATTTTGGTTTCTGTCTCTAGCACTAGCACATCTGTAGCATCTGTAGCTTTTAGCAACATCTGGGCATTTTTAGTAACTCGGCTGTGAATTTCTTCCAGTTATATAACACAATGGTTGATTCCCTTTTGCCAGTAGCAGCTGCCAGAGAAGCTGTCTGTGTTTGGGTGGCAGATGCTGTAGTCCACCTCTGTAGAGTCAAGTTCCAGCTGGTTATTGGCATGGTTTATCCTGTGCTGGCTGTGATTTATCATTTTCTCTGGGGGTACAGATGGATAATGCTGTTTTAAAGAGGCCTGGGAGTACCAGGAGTTCTTGTTTCTGTACCAGGCCCATTAGACTGTTCCCTACATCTGGCTTCAGGAAGTCCCTACCATATTTTTATGTTCACAGTCATTGTTCTTCTTGTGTGGAAAAGTACTTCTGAGGGTAGTCTTCATTTTCTCATCATGTAGAGTACCTGTGTTGGAATCTTCTAAATTCAGTTGCAGTCTGTAGGTGAGGATTAATATTGCTTAGTTTTGTGTTGTGTTCATGGTTTTCTTTAAGGAAGAAATGGAATCTGTTTTCTCTTATAGAGCCACCTAAAGCTATATGGCCCGAAAGATACTGTACCTTTAGTTGTTTCATCCTGGTGCTATGGAGTTTTACCCCTTAATGTAACTTTGATGTAAGCTTTACCTCCCTGGTAGACTAAGAATGGAGCAGGCAGATGAGAGATAAGTGGGGAGAGTGATAGTGCTTTATATTTTGGCAGAAAGTAATTTCTGGGAAGTATTTTGAGAAGCATACAATTTTTTGTACAATGTTACCATAAGCACAAATTTAGTTTTTTTGTTTCTTGTGATTTTTCTTTCCATAAAGATCTTTTTATGTAACCCTGGCTTGCCTGAACTTACTGTATAGACCAAGCTGTTCTTTTGTTGTTTTGTTTTTTCAAGAGTATTTCTCTGTGTTGCCCTGCCCTGGCTGTCCTGGAACTGCTTAGACCAGGCTGTTCTTGAACTTGAGGTAGTTCTACCTCTGCTTCTGCCTCTGTAGTGCTGAGATGACTAGCATAAACCAACTACCTGGCTGAGTCTTTTCTAAAAATTCTTACCTTGTGCTCTGGAACCCCATTTGGACACACTTGCTCAAAGGTTCTTTACCGTATTGTCTTTGGTTAATAAAATATTTAAGTAAATGTTTGGAAGTTGCTAGGAGATGAATACACTCTGCAGGGAAAAAACATTTCTGGAATGGAAAGAGGGGAGGAGGCAAAGTGAAAGAAAGGAAAGGATCTGGGGTTGTAGCTCAGTGGAAGAATGGTTGTTGGCCAGAACACAAAGCTAGGGGAGAGGTAGATAAGAAAGAAAAGATAGGAGCTTTGCAGGGAGCATCAGTTTTTGAGAACTTGGAACCCCAGGGTGTTGCATACAATAGCTGCTCAGGGAGTGTTGATTCAAGCTGTATTTAGTTTGCAGGCAGAGTCTTTGAAACCTCTTCAAGATCCCACCCCCCCCCCCCCCCAGAAATGTAGGCTTGCCTCTGATATAACTGGTTTGGAATGTTACTTTTTGTAGGGACAATCAACAGAACCCAAACAGCAAATCATGTATGATGTAATCAAGCTGGGAGCTATCATGAAGAGGGGAAACTCAAAATGTGGAAGACATTTTGACTAAGGATATCACATCCTCTGCTTTTTTCTCTCTTCAAGATTTATTTTATGTATTTGGGTGTTTTGCCTGAATATATGTCTGTGTACATGTATTCAGCACCCAGAGAGACCAGAAGATGTGTTGAATTCTCTGGAACTGGAATTATAGATAATCGTTAGCCACCCTGTGGGTTGTAGGAACTGAAATTGGGTCCTCTGCTACAACAACAAATGCTTTTAACCACTGAGCCATCTCACCAGGCCCAGCTGCCCCCCTTTCCAAATAGGAGAGGAGTCTGTGGTACTAGTTATAATTGTCTTCCCATGTTGCGCATTAGCTAATCAGGGGTTGGATATTCAAATTACCTACTCCAGGGTTTCCTCTATGAAGGTAATGAAAATTCCTTGTGACTGAGGAATTTTCTTTCAGCCCAGGATGTGTATTCCCGCGCTCCCCCCGCACCCCCCCCCCAGGAAATCCCTGTTACTCCAACACACCTTCCTGACAGAGTTTACTGGAGAGACAGAGATGGCTCTTAACAGTCATTGCTGCCCTGAATTGTTGAGACAGAGATGGCTCTTAGCAGCCATTGCTGCCCTGAATAGTTGAACGCTCCTGAAGAGAAGGGGGAGCGAATGCCCAGGAATAAACACATGGAACCTCTGGCTCCTGCCTGCATCCTTGCTTTTGGCTTGATTGATAGGTTGTTAGGTTAAGGATAGAAGGAGAGGTGGGGAGGAGGAGGCAGGATGCCTGTCTGAGTGTCCTGAGCTTGCTGCTTTTGTCGCCACTCTGACAGGCAAGAAAAAAGGAATTCACAAACAAGACAGCAGTGATCTATCAGTGCTGACTGTCAGCGTGTATGTTCAGTACTTTCAGATGAGGCATTTATTTACTTTTTTTTTTTTCAAGTCAGCCCTTGCAGTTAGGGTGTAGAATTTTGCAATCCCAATCATCCTTTTCCTTAGCAGTTGCTTTTGATTTTACACTCTGCTTTGGCAGTGTTTGGGTATCAGCTTCTGCTGCTCTGCTTATTTACCACTCTCATTAATTTAGGACACAAAGAAAACAGTTAAGGGTGCCTTAGCTTTTTGCCTTCAGATTTTGGATTCTATCTTTTATGTGTTCAGAGAGCATCTTCCTTTGCCCTTGATTTCCCATTCTAGTTTATCCCTTCCAGCTCATTTCTTTTGTGTGGCAACCCTTCGTTGCCCAACTTAAGTCAGGTCTCTTATTCTTTTCTGTTATTGACAGTATCACAGTCAACCTTGTTTCCTAAAACTAAAATAAATAGCTGATTCTTACGTAGGTCCAAGTTGCATTGTCTAACTTAAGCATAATTTGTTTTTATTCAGCAGCTCTTGTTTTCCTTATGGGTGAGCCCAGAGAAAGATTATCTAGTCCAATTTCCCCATTTTGAAGACAGGAAGCTAAGAATGGAGAGGTCATGTGACTTTCCCAGGCTTTCAGAGATTAGGACAAAGTGTATCATGGAAGCTAGTGGGTTTTTTTGGTTGTTGTTGTTTCTGTTTGTTTGTTTTGTTTTTTAGATTGTTGTTTGGGTATTTTTGTCTTTGTTTGCTTGTTTTTGTTTTTCTTTTGAGTCTGGGTCTTTATGCCTAGTGAGCCTTGAATTCACTTTGTATCCCAGGCTGGCTTCAAATTCACAGCAATCCTTCTCCTTTGGTCTCCTGAGTGCTGGGATAACAGGTGTGAGCTATCATGCCACACCTGACTAAAGCCAGTTTTTTGTGTGTGTTCCCCCCCCCCAAAAAAAAAACCGGGTTCTAGCTGTCCTGTAATGCTTTTAGACTAGGCTGGCCTCTGCCTCCCAAGTGTTGGAATTAAAGGCATGTGCCACCAAAGCCAGTTTTGTTTGTTGTTTGTTTGTTTTGGTTAATACCATGTTCTTTCTGTGAGCTCAATGACCTGTCCATCTGTGTGTCTGTGTATGTACTTGTGCAGGAACATGAAGGTTAGATGTTCTGCTCTAGTACCTTGCTTTATTCCCTTGATA